AATGCCTGGGATTTAACTAAGTCTACCTTGAGAAGAATACAACCTTCGCTTCTAAGTCTAAGTGACCTATAGGGATTCAATCTTTTTTTTAATTGTCAAGGTGAGAGGTTACAGAGGGGTTACAGTTACATAAGTAAGGTAATAAGTATATTTCTTCTCAAACTTGTTATCCCTTCCCTCATTTTTCTACTTTTCCTACCATCCCCCTAAGGGATTCAATCTTATACACAGATTATCTTATTCAATCTTATACACAGTTATCAAAGAATTACTGTCATCACTCTTCTGATATTCCCCAACCCAGATGCCCCTAGGTACATGAATGGATCCAGAAAATGGTGATATATATATAACAATGGAATTCTATGCTTCCATCAGAAAGAATGACATGGCCCTGTTCATTAGGAAATGGAAAGACTTGGAAAAAAATCATATTAGGTGAAGCAAACCAGATGCAAAGAAACATACATCCCGTGATTTCCCTTATTTGCAATAATTAGTATACATCTAGGATACTCTTATCTGATGAGTAGAACAGCTCAAAGCTATGTACATATGATCATATAAGATGATGCTAAGCAAAATGAACTCCAAAACATAGACACAGAGGTTATTCTTTGTTGTTGTTACTTTTAGTGTACTATGTGAATTTTTGTTTCTTTTGTATATTCTTCCCCCTATGGTATATCCCCTGTTGTCATTGTATTTGATTCTGGTACTCTAGTATTGCATTTATGTTTACTTGAATTAAGGAAGGGAAGGGGAACAAGAGAATGGTGAGATAAAGGTCAAGGGGGGAATAGATTCAACAGCGATATACACAAGACAATATGTTAGAAACGATCTGTACAACTTGGGAGGGGTATGGGGGGGGAGAAAGTAGGAGAAAAAAGAGGGAAAGAGTAACAAGTTTGACAAAATAATGTACTTATTATCTTACTTATGTAACTATACATCACTCTGTACATCACCTTGACAAAAAAAGAAAAGAAAAAATTCAAAGATGACAAAAAAAAGATCTGAGTCATCTTATAGACTTTCAAAATTCAAATCAGTTCAGTCAAAAATTTGAGCTATACAAGGAAAATACCCTAAATTCAAGCTAACTTCAGGCATTGAACCACTGATTATGAAAATTAAGCAGAATTAGAGAAAGAAGGACTAAAAGGAAGGAATGACAAGGGATGTGAGGAAATAGTAGTAGGGAGCTGGGGAAAGAGATGGTAGAAGGGTTCCACAGCAGAAAAAAGGATGCCTTGCACAATAAAGCTACTCTAGGGGCTGGGAAGGTGGCTCAGTGGTAGAGTGCTTGCCTTACATGCATGAGGCCCTGGGTTCCATTCCTCAGCACCACATAAGCAAAAAGAAAAAAAGCCGGATGTGGCACTGTGGCTCGGTAGAGCGCTAGCCTTGAGCTGAAGAGCTAAGAGACAGCGCCCAGGCCAAGAGTTCAGGCCCCATGACCGGACTCCCAAAAAAACAACAACAAAAAAAATCTACTCTAGCTAAAAGAAGAGAATTGGTGGTTTAAATGTACACAGGTGGACCCATTGCAACAATGAGATGTACAAGTTATGTTGAAAATGAACTTTACAACTTTGGTGCGGAGGGGGGGGGGGCGGGGAGGATTGGGGTGGGGAGGAAGGAGGGAGGATGGGAAGGGGAAACAAAGGAGGAGGCTACAATGCTTGATAAGAAATGTACTCATTATCTTGCCCATGTAATTGTAACCCCTCTGTACAGTATTTTCACAATAAAAAAGAAACGTAAAATAAGTAAATAAATAAATAACTGTACAACACAGTGAATACCTCTAATTCCTAATAAATGCAGAAAAAACTAAGCAGTTACATCATCATTCTCCCAACTCCTTCCAAACCCTAAAACCAAATTACCAAGATGCAAAAGCAATAATTAATTAAGGAAAAGAGTTTAACCCAACCCAGATTTGATAAGTGTGGTTGTGTATAGACCAAGAAGATTCTGATGCGACTGGTTCCTAAAACTGTCCTAACATATGAAAAAGGTCCACAAAACTAGCCCTACCTGAAAGTTCTTACTAATGTCCAAATTTGCAGAGAAAAAAGTATCCTTAACAAGGAATGCAACTGTTGGCAGAATACTGGAAAAGAACTAATGGTACAGGAGGTAAAAAGGTGAGACTGACACTGACTAAAGACAAAAAAGTTCCAGGGATCCCTGACAAATTTCTAGGACAGGATGCATGCCTGATATAAGAGATTTAATTCTAATCCATAAAGTGAGGTTCAAGGAAGCACAAACAATGTCCATACTCTTTACAGAAGGCAGAAAACAAGTAGTATATACGCAGAAATATACAACTTAAAGCAAAAATCTCACAATGTTTTTTATATTTTCCCTAGTCTTAAAGTGAATCTCAGAAAATAAAATAAGGTGGAAGGAATAAATATTTATGCAAGCTCAGCATAGTCTTCAGTTTAATTTTCTTCTATCAATCTTCCTCAATTTGCAGTTCAGATTCTCACCTTCCTAAAAAGGTGAATCTTAAGTTATCCTAAAGAGATGTCTAAAACATCGTCACTTAATGTTTAAACAAGCAATTTCTAGGCTTTAGGCTTTAACTTTGTCATTGTTATGTGTACTACTGTAATTCTTCAGAATGAATACTGTATTTATAAAATAATAAAGACAATTTTTTGTTTTTTGTTGGTGTCTGTGTGTATGTGTGCATGCATGCTGTTCTAAGTGATGTGAAAGAAAAGTAGATAAAATGCTAGTAGCGACCCAAAACAGAAAGATTACTGTATACGGAGGAATAAAAGAAATGTTTTGTACTTACTGAAGGAAAAAAAATTACATTTATTTTCTGAGACTTGTAAGAGGTTCATTTTCAATAAGCTTGATTAAAATATCAAACCTTTTTTTTTTTTGGTTATGGGGCCTGAACTCTGGGCCTGGGCACTGTCCCTCAGCTCTTCAGCTCAAGGCTAGTGCTCTACCACTTGAGCCACGGCGCCACTTGCGGCCTTTTTCTTTTTGCTTATATGGTGTTGAGGGGACTGGAAAGGTGGCTCAGTGGTAGAGGGTTTGCCTTGCATGCATGAGGCCCTGGGTTCGATTCCTCAGCACTACATAAGCAAAAAGAAAAAAGCTGGAAGTGGCACTGTGGCTCAAGTGGAAGAGCGCTAGCCTTGAGCTGAAGAGCTGAGGGACAGCGCCCAGACCCAGAGTTCAGCCCCATGACCGGACCCCGCACCCCCCCACCAAAAAAAAACCAGGCTATATGGTGCTGAGGAATCGAACCCAGGGCCTCAGGCATGCAAGGCAAGCGCTCTACCACTGAGCCACCTTCCCAGCCCCTCAAACCTATTTTTATGTGTTTCCAGAAACTGGTATACACAATACGTTTAGATAGGTTAAAACATTTTCTTTGTGTTTTGTAGTCCCTTCACATTCTTTTCTGAAGGAAAGGATTTAAAAATCTCACTTGAAGCATATTATAACAAGCTAGCTATAACTAATTATTTTCAACACATAAAAACTGCCTGAATGACTTAACAGGTTTTAACTTAAAAGTGAAGGAGAAGATATAGCTCAGTGTAGATGCTGATAGGGGAAAATGGTCTCTATTGGTTAAAAAATAAGTAAGACTAGATAAACATACCTTTTCTGGAGGAAATAAGCCTGAATATAGGACTCAAGAAGATCCTACAAATTACATTTTAAAGTAAATAACTAGAGCTGTGTCCTGGTGGCTCATGCCTGTAATCCTAACTTTTCAGGAGGCTGAGATTTTAGGACTGTAGTTTGAAGCTAGACCAGGCAGGGAAAGGCATGAGGCTATTACCTCCAATTAACTATCCAAAACTAACAAACAAACAAACAGAAAATCCAGAAGTGGAACTGTGGTTCAAATTATAGAAAACTAGCCTTGTGTAAGAAATTCTGGAACCATATCCAGACCCTGAGATCAAGCACCAGTGTACACACACACACACACACACACACACACACACACGCCTTGTGTAAGAAATTCTGGAACCAAAAAAAACAGAATAGTAAAAAACACATCAACAAATAATGTGGTGGTTTGTTTCATTAGGCAAAAAATATTGGTAGGGAATAAGATTTAGAAAAAAATAAAACATAACTATTATTAATGAAACATACAAAATGTTGAATTAAAAACTCAGTGGATGATCCAATACAAGCTAGAGTTGAAGACAGAAGTACTGAACCAAATTATCTGAAGAAATACCAAAAACACTGCCCAGAGGAATACATAGAAGTCATTTAACAAATGTCAAATTGAAATTCCAGAAAGAAATAATAGAGAAAACAGGGAAAGCATAACTGTTGAAAAAAAATGAGAAGTTTTTAGAACTACTGAAACACAATTCCTGATTGTACCACTGTTATACTGTGCAATATTCTCCATAAAACTATGGCTATCCTTTTCATTACTATCTTTTAGTCTCCTTTAAATGTCTTTGAGACTTATTTCTGTCCTTAACTTAGGATGCATACTTAATTTATCTTTTAAATCACACTTTGTATGTGGTGCATGTGTGTATGCACATGTCACTTCTGGGGTTTAAACTCATAGTTTGGGTGCTGTTCTGGAGCTGCTTTTGCTCAAAGCTAGCACTCTACCACTTGAACCACTGCTTCTTTTCTGGCTTTTTGGTAGTTAATTCAAGATAAGGGTCTCACCAACTTTCCTACTGGTGCTGACTTTGAACTGTGATCCTTAGATCTCAGCTTCTTAAGTAGCCAGGATTACAGGCATGAAACACTGGAGCCCAGCTTTAAATACCACCTTTTTTTGTAGCTAACAAAAATCTAGAATTTCATAACAAAATGTTATGGAAAGGTTAATCTTAATAGTCTATATTTACTACCTTTCCTAAGTGAATGACTCCAAACCAAATTAATTTTGGTTTTGAGAAGCACATAATGATATAACAATGTAACAAAGTGCAATACAAAGAAGTCTGAGGACCTAGACTCCTACTAACCTCCATTTCCTGCTTCAGCCAGTCTTCTAATTCTGCATTCTTTCGAGCATGATGAGGTATTAGATCAGATCCTCCAATGATGCGTGGAAGTTTTCCTGCTCCAGGATATATGACCTGTTAAGTAGTAAAAGTTGGGAGGATTACATATATTAACAAAGATGAATAATCTTTTAAGAAAATTTAAAAGCAGGGCTGGGAAGTTGGCTCAGTGATAGAGCGCTTGCCTTGCATGCCTGAGGCCCTGGGTTTGATTCCTCAGCACCACATAAGCGGAAAAAAAAAGAAAAAACACAGAAGTGGCACTGGGACTCAAGTGGTAGAGCGCTAGCCTTGAGCTGAAGAGCTAAGAGACAGCGCCCAGGCTCAGAGTTCAGGCCCCACGACTGGACCAAAAAAAAAGAAAATTTAAAAGCAAAAAGTATAAATACTGCTTAACATAGTGTCAAAGATGTTTAAGAACCTATAACTGAATGTGAGAGACCCAATTCTGTGCTAGACCCATCTTGTTTAACCCTTTAGTTTTCTAGCTATTACAATACCGAGATTTAGACATGTTGCTAGGACTCAGAAGCTAAGAACAATTTAAGAGTTTAAAATTGTAGTTTTTATTTTAAAATGGCATTGGCCTTTTGTTACAAGTAAAGCAACTCAGTATATGAACATATATACTGAAATTTAAAATACTCTGATTTAAATGTTTGTACCCTTGGTAGTAATAAATGAAAATTTATGTGTTTTTTTTGTTTTTTTGGGTCCGGTTGTGGTCCCTGAACTCTTGGCCTGGGCGCTGTCCCTCAGCTCTTCAGCTCAAGGCTAGCGCTCTACCTCTTGAGCCACAGCGCCACTTCCGGCATTTTTGTTTTTGCTTACGTGGTGCTGAGGAATCAAACCCAGGGCCTCATGCATGCAAGGCAAGCGCTCTACCACTGAGCCACCTTCCCAGCCCTGAAAATTTATGTTTTTATACATTTTTGTAGTTTATAGATCCTTAACAGAAAATATTGGGGATGGTAATTTACACTTTGACATTGTTTACAAATAAAGGAGTACAACAAAGAGGCAATTTATGAAAGGGTCATATAAAACACTGATAATACTTAAGTTAGAAGGTAAGTAATTAGTTTAATATTTCTAAACAAGATTTTGAAATTTTAATGTGAACTTGAAAGAAAATTTTAAATTATTTTTCATCATTAAGCAATAATTAAAAAACAGAGATCCATGCCATTGATTTACAATGAAACTTAAGTACCCAGACAAATTCTTTGGAGAAAAATCTTTTTAAACATCTTTCTATACACATTATAGATTGAATTTCTTAGAGTTAGAAAATAATTTTGTTTTGTCTAGGATAGCATTATTCAGAGTTTTACTTCTTTCCAACCCATTTTACAGTAACTCTGAGCTCCTATACTTCAATTATTAATAGACCTCTTTTGCTTCCTCTTTGATATATAGTATGTCTGAATTCTTTTTGGCAATACCTGGATTTGAAGTCAGCACCCCACATTTGTTAGGTGGGTGTTCAATTGCTGAGATTCCTTTAGGACTTTTTCCACACTCATTATTTTTGACACAGCATCATGCTTTTTGCCTAGGCTCAGGCCTGTACACAATCCTATTTCTTATACTTCCAGATTTAATTGGAATGAAAAAAGTATACCACTATGCCCATGTATTGGTTGACAAGCAATCAGTGAACTTTTTGCCTGGGCGGGGGGGGGGGGGGGCCTCAAACCAGTCTTCCAGATCTCAGCCTTCTAAATAGCTATGATTACAGGTGAGAGCATTCCCCAGCTAGAACTGTGCTTAAAAAAAATTAGTTACAGTGAAAACATGGGTTATACCGTGGGGGAGGGATGTACAAAGCAACATAGAAATCATCTTATAAATATGTTAGAGACAATTGCATGAAAGGAAAAAAAAAACAAAAAAACATTTGAATACTTATCTTGTGGTTCATTCCCTTAACATTAACTTATCTGACCTTTTCTGCTTGACTCAGACATATACTAGTTATTGCAAATAAGGGGAACCATGGACCTATGTTTCTTCAGGCCTGGCTTACTTCACTTGATGTTGGTGTAATTTGTGGAGGGGAAGGGAAAAAACAAATTGTTTAACTAGGAATACAGGTGAACCCATTGCAACAATGAGATGTACAAGTTTTTATGTCAAAAAACGAACTTTATAGCTTTGGTGGGGGGTGGGGGGAGGATTAGGTGGGGGAAGGGAGGGAGTATGGGAAGGGATGGGAAGAGGAAACAAAGAGGAGGCAACAATGCTTGATAAGAAATGTACTTGTTATCTTGTCCATGTAATTGTAACTCCTCTGTACGGATATTCTCACAATAAAAAATAAATAAAAATCAGTTACATAACTCAGGTACAGAGTGTATTTCTTTTTGGACAAGGTCATCCCTTGCCTTGCTCTCTCAGGTTTTCTCTCCTTCCCATTCTCATCCACAAGCTACAAAGTTCATTTTCATTGTGTCCACTGCAGAATTGTGCTTTTTAAGCAGAAGAAATAACCTAAGTTTTTTTTTCCTTTTTTTCAACAATCTGCTTTTATTACTGCTTAATCCCAAGGGTATTTTTAAAACTATTTCAAACAATGCCCTCCAATGATGCAGTTTAAAAATTACCTACCTTTTTAAACTTCTTGAAATTCTTGAGTTGACCATAATTATTATTTACCCCACACAGATTTCTGGAAGTGGTGTTACTAACCACTAGTGATCTAAATTCAGTCAGTAGTACCTTTCTTGGAAGCATTTCACTACTGTCCTGAAGTTCATCATTGACCTTAAGAAGAGTAAAATGGATAGATGAAGAAGAAAAATGACTTATGATGTAATAATCTACAAGGGAGTTCAAATAACTGAAGAAAATAGCAAGAAGGGTTATTTCTGATATTTGAACTTTTTCTTTGGAATCAAGTCATATCCCTTTTAAATCAAAATTAAGTTACCCATGTGCTCTATAAATTTGAAAACAACATATTTATGTGTACTCAAAGATTAAAAGCCGGGCTGGGAAGGTGGCTCAGTGGTAGAGCGCTTGCCTTGCATGCTCGAGGCTCTGGGTTCGATTCCTCAGCACCACATAAGCAAAAAGGAAAAAGCCGGAAGTGGCACTGTGGCTCAAGTGGTAGAGCGCTAGCCTTGAGCTGAAGAGCTGAGGGACAGCGCCCAGGCCCAGAGTTCAGGCCCCACGACCGGACCCAAAAAAAAAAAAAAAAAAGATTAAAAGCCATGGAGTATTTTACCTTAGTAACTTAGTCTAATAAATACTATCTTAATGAATAATACATATTCTTGTAAATATTCTCTTGATTTGAAATCTCAGCATTGTCTGGTTCTTTTCAATAACGTTTTACACCAATATTGGCTTCAAACTGTAATCCTCAGATTTCATCCTCCTGAATAGTTAGGTTTTAGAGGCATGAGCCATCAGTGCCTGGCCAGAAATGCTTAAATTCTTCATAACAAAGGGCCCTCTCCCTTCCTACTCTGTGCAAAATGGAATCAATTTATTCCCTCCCTCCCTAATTTTGCTAAAGCTTAGAGTGGACCAGACTTTAAACACTTCCAAATCTTCTTCAGACTAGGGTGAAAGAGGGAGTGTGTGCAATCCATAACTAAATTTTGCTCAATAAAAAAGTTAAGTTTGGTCTAGTTTCCTGAAAAAAGCGCCGTAGAAAGGAGGAATTCAGATGGAAAAGACCTTTTCCCTTCTAGTTCCCTACTACTATGGCTAAGTATGTCCTCATTCATTACAAATGTGGCAGCTAGGGAGGTAGAAATTTTAACAAGTGATGATATCACCAATTCCACTTACAGGAGACTGAACTAATATGAAGAGCTTCCTCAGACATAATAAGAAACATAAAGTATCAACATTCATGAATATTAATGAGCAAAATCAAAACAAAATTTTCCTAGAGATGTCATACATACTTGATCCTGAATTTTGATATAGTACTTTGTTTTACTAACGTCTTTCATCTTGCTGTGGCTGTTTAATGTATTACCTACCTGTACTTAGCCAAATGACTTTTATAACAGTACAATCTAATCTGAAAGCCCATCAAAACAAACATGACAATAGGGTTGGGGTTTTTTCTGTGATTTATCTTATATAGTTGAAAAAAATCACTGTAATTTTAACATTTACCTTATGGACCAACAAATCTTCACATACTTTATACTGGGTGTTGATGATAGTTTTTCCTAAATACAAAATAAGGTGCTTTTAAGTTTATAGTACTTCTCATTAAAAATTTCACTTACAGATATGTTACTCCTTTCCGGTATTGTTTCATCATTAGAGTTGTTTGTTTCTATATCCATCTTTGGCTTTTTTCTAATATTCCCATCTTCCTCTGGCTTTTCAACTTTCACATTATTTCCTAACTCTGGCTTTGTGTCCTTGAGTAAATTTTCTAATATCTCATCTTCTATGGCTGAAATATCAATTTTTCTTTTTTCTGAAGAAAGAAATTTACTGGCAGAATTTTTCACATCAGATTTTAAATCTACATCATCTGAAAATAAGTTATCTGATTCTTTGCCCATGGGCTCATCCTGAGATGAATCTTGCGCCTTATTTTTCCACAATGAGGGTGTCGTTGGTTGTGTCTGTTCTAAAAGAGAACAAGACATTTCTATTCTTGCTGACTTGGATGAAGACAATTCTTGATTTTCTTCATCCCTTTCCCTTTGATTAGAAAAATATAAATATAAGAGTAATATTTTAGTGTGACAATATTCACCATTCTTTCCATTTAATTTACAATGCACTCCTGATTTTACTAACAGTATCATTGGACATCAACAAATAAAAATTTGGAAACAATTCACAATTCATATACATTCTACTATTAGGACTAGTAGATCCTATAGTTAAAGCAACATGGTGAAGCTCCATATCCTCTGCTTAAGTAAAGTTAGCTAATAAGTGTGGAGGAGAAAGGAAGAAATATCTAAGTACAAAGGACTTCTTGTCAGAACAAAGCAGCCTATATTATACTGTAGGGAAGTGTGGCCAGGGAATTATTAGCCTAGGAATATAACCTGATAGATTGAGAGCTGGATTTAAAGTAACAAACCAGATTCTAAATCTAGAACATGGCACCAAGTACACACTGCAAATATTATGTGAAAGCATCATCAAAGCATTCAATGCGATACTGTATCACTCACTAAGTACTGAACACTTTCTTCTAGCAAACTATATTAAGGTCCACAGAGCAGACAATGACTTAGATTTCTATTCTCTAGAAGTTTGCTGGATTTATAAAAAAACGGAGCAGTAAAGTCTATTAACACTAATATCAGAGTACTAGAAAGAAAGCCCAATAGAGGTTGTAGTTTGAAGTAGGAATCGGGTAACACAAATAGCAGGGGTGGGGTCTAAATGATAACGAAATAGTTGCCAGTGGCTCATGCCTAAAAGCCTGACTGCTCAGAAGGCTGAGATTTGAGGACTGCGGTTTGAAGCCAGCATGGACAAGAAAGTCCCTGAGACTCTCATTCCCAAGCCTTGGAGCACAAAACCTCAGGGACAGTGCCCAGGCCCTGAGTTTAAGACACAGACACACACACGGACACACACACAGACACTCACACAGACACACACACACACACAGACACACACACACACACAGACACACACACACACACACACACACACACATACACGATCAACAGGGAAGCAGAGGAGAAATAATTAGGTTGCAATAAGGCCAATTCCCTTTATATTGTCAGAGATGTTACCAGGGGCACTAGGAGGAAGGAGATTTTAGAAGTCATCAAACAAAACAATAGCTCAAATATAGCACGGGAGAACAAAGACGAAACTCTGTGCAATACTTTTGTAAAAGGAAATCAGGATGTTTCTGAGACAGAATAGCTCAAAGGGCTACAGCTTTCCACAGAATCTTAAAATAGCAAACAACAGATAAAGGAAAATAATACTCTCCAATATTATTAAAAGTATTTTAATGACGCAGGAGAAATTATTAAAAATATACCTTTTTTTAGAAGATGGTTGAAAGTAGTTTTTGATTGAATTCAGCTGCTGTTGAGAAGCTGAAGCTCTACTTTTATTTACAGGTAGGACTTTAGTTGGTGAAAGCTGACGGTCTGAAAACTTAGTTTTAACTAAAGTATTTGATACTGTATTATTATTACTATTATTTGGGAAGGGCTCCTTTGTAGTAGATGTTTCTTGCGAAAGTGTTCTAAATTTCTGTTCCATTCCAGAAATTTTTACTTCTTTTGACATTTCACTCAAATATATACTGTGGCAGAAAAAAAAGCAAAGTAAATACATTTATATATACTTTTTATCTAGAGACCAAGATTGTTAAGTAGTTACAATGAAAATAACATTGGGTTGTCTTCTGATAATTCAGTGAACACATTTTGGTATGGCAAACAAGCAGTTGGTTCCCTTGTCACTTCAGGGCTTTAGTAGACACGAAATAGCAACCTAGTATCCCATCCCAGCTTAAACTAGGTGATAATTCCATCATTTTTGGTTTTGGTTAAAATTTCACGTTATTTCTATATGAATGCATTATAAGAAAAAATGGAAAATCAGGGCCAGGTATAGTGGTACAAGTCTGAATATCAGCACTTAAGATCGCCAAGTTTAAAGCCAGCTTGGGCTACATAGCAAGTTTCAGGCCAATCTGGGCTCTGTAATGAGACCATGTATCAGAAAATCAAATTAAAAAAAAAGAAAATCAGAATGAGCTCCCTTTATTCTGGTATTACGTACAACAGGGTACCTCTAGACCACTTAATATAATAATACCCAGTCTAAATGGCAATTTGTAATACAGAACTCTAGACTATCAGAAAATATTTTAAATACACAAAACAGTTTTATAATGTTCAGGCCCCACGACCGGACCAAAAACAAACAAACAAAAAACAGTAATGTAACAATCTCTGTTTAAAAATCTAGGCCAGTAACAGTGTCTCAACTTTTAAAAGGCAGAGATTGAGAAGACTGCAATTCAAGACCAGACTGTTGAAGAAGAAATTAGGCATGATGGTACAGCAATGTAATCCCACCTATTCAGGAGGTATAAGAAGAATCATGATCCAGAGTAGTACAGACAAAAATGCTAAAAGGAGAAAAAAGAAGTCTGGGAGTGTGGTTCAAGTGGTAGCATACTTGATGCATTAGTTCAAAATCCTGAATCCAAACCTCAGCATTACCAAAAAAAATAAATCTAAACACCAGGCACTGCACATGCCTATAATCTTAGCACTAAGGACATTAAGGCAGGCAGAAGGATCTCCAGGCTGAGGCTAATCTGGACTACACAGTGAGAACTATGGAAGAAAAGACAGAGAGACACACACAGACAAAGACACACCAAGAGAAGTTAAATATGGTTACAACATAAAATATGTAGGTAACAAATGATTAAAATAAAGTCTAATATAGTGATATAGTTAACTGAATATGAATACTTCCTTATTAAACACTTAAAACAAATAAGTTTTAAACAAAAATAAAAAATAAATAACCCACAGAATACAGAAGAGTTAACTCTTTTCAATTAAGAAACAAAACAACCCAGAATCATTCTTCAAATAACCACTAAAAACCTGTCTTCGTGAATAAATATGAACTAAATAACTAGCTTTATCCTGTTAAGTTTTTCAAAATTCTAAGGCATATTTATATAGAGAAACAGCATATTACTTAAACAAAAGGCATATTTATATAAGACAAACACATTTATAATAGTCCCCCTTATCTGTGGAGGACCATTCTATAAGACTCCCAATGGATGGTTAGGGCCAATGGCATATTGAACACTATATATACATTGTTACTGTTCATAGTTATGATAGCTTAATTTACAAATTAGGCACCTAAGAAATAAGCAACAGTAACTAGTTAATAAACATTTATAACAAAGACTATAGTAAAAAATTATGAAAATGTCTCTTTCAAAATATTAGTTGTACTCATCCTTTTTTAATAAAATGAGATGCAACAATATGTATGTGCTGATAGGCAATGAGATGAACAGTGCAGGCATTATGGTGCAGTGTCAGGTTACTATGTAAAGATCACTTGACACAAGCACTACAACAGACACACAGAACAAAAGGATGATTTTCATCTTAGGCTGGGCATTAAGAGATTTCATCACACTGCTCAGCACAATTTAGAACTTAGAAACTGCTTCTTTCAGGAATTTTTCCCCCTCGATATTATTGTACTACAGTTTACAGGTAACTAAAAGTACATAAATCAAAGCTATAGATAAGTGGATATAACTATTTCCAACTTTATCTCAATAATCACAATTGAAATACTAGAATTCTTTTTAGTTTCCATGCACCTTTGCAAGGTATGAAAAAACTCAAGGCACTAAACTATAGACCACAGGCCAAATCAAGTCCATTTGGTTTTGTAAATAAAGTTTACTTGCCAATTCTTTATAAAAAACTTGCTGATCTCAGTCTTAAGGTTCATTTTTCCTGGATTTTATTCTCCCATGTTTTATCTCCTAAGAGACAACTTTATAAAAGTACCAACTTTACTTCTTGAACAAACTTTTTATCTGTTACTGCAAAAGTGACATGAGTTTGTTAAACAAGAAGCTTTTACCAAGCATCTAGTTGCTCTGATTCTGAGCCATTCATGATCAATGTACCATTCACAGGAGCACTTGGAATTATTTTTTCATTGACTGACAAGTCTTGAGAAAGGCTTGGCCCTGGCGTTGTCTTTAATTCTGTAAATCATACAAACGAAAAGAAAAAAAATCATAACCATGACATACAAGATTGACATTGATTATTAAAAATGAGGTGCTTAATTAGATGATGTAGCACATGGTTGTTTCTAGTCAGTGAAGCTAGGAAATACTTTGAGGAAATTATCCATACTAACAATCTATTAACATCTATTATGCACTTAATCTAAACCACGTGATTTTAAAGTATACCAAATTCTATGAAATATTATCAACCTAAGTGAGTCCAATTTAAATTATGCCTAAAATGATATTTGAACGTCAGACCAAAAAATTGTATTTATTCTCCAAATGGAAAGTATGTGAGAATTTATATCCTATTATCTGGAAGACACGTAATACCATTTTACGCCTTCTATAAAGACATGTCTTTTCTATTTGTTTACTAAAATAGCAACCAGTTCAAAGACCACTAGTACTGGTTGGGAATGCTTGCTTTTGAGACTTCCCTGTTGAATTAAGTGCTCCTTGTTTCTTCTTTCACACTCCCCTGCACATCACCTGACTAATGATTTATTTGTCACTACTTGTGTGGCACGAGTGATTTAACTTCTTTATGCTTTAATTTTGCCATATACAAAGTGACACCAATTAAAACACAATCCTCACAAAGACATTTTGTGGACAAAATAAACTGATATATGTCTAAGTTAGACATTACCTGTGGTGCAGTAATCACTGAGTCAGCGTTGGTAGTTCACATTCATCATTTATTTGCTACCTTTCCTTAGCATCTACAAAATAGGTCTTCCTTTTTTTCTGTATCTCCAGTGCACAGCATTATTTAATAATCAAAAAATACAGATCCAGAGTAAACTCTCAGCTAAAAAAAAAAAACTATAGGGCTGGGAAGGTGGCTCAGTGGTAGAGTGCTTGCCTTGCATGCATGAGGCCCTGGGTTCGATTCCTCAGCACCACATAAAAAGAAAAAGCTGGAAGTGGCGCTGTGGCTCAAGCGGTAGAGCGCTAACCTTGAGCTGAAGAGCTGAGGGTCAGCACCCAGGCCCAGAGTTCAGGCCTCATGACCGGACCCAAAAAAAAACCCCATAAAGCTGACATTTACTAAGTACCTATAACTTAATTTATCATGTTATGGCCTAATAATCTAAAAGGTCCTCAGTAAATGTTTATTTTTGACTCCAAAATCAGGTATTTGCCTTTTGCCACATTCCCATATGACTTACTCAAAGGTTCACATTATTTCCTTAAGTATCTCTAAGACTTCATTGTACTATCACAGAAGTTTGCAGAGGTAACATTATGTAGTCACCGAAAAAAGCATTTATCAACCTAATGACCCAGAATAACTGTTTGTTGACCAAAGACGATGTTCTCCTCAATATAAATACTATAAGCACAAGAATTCAGTCTGATTTGCTCACCTCATTACTCCTAGTTGTGCAGCATGATTACAAGTATTTACTGACTGATCAACAAATACTTATTGAATAACTAAATATTGAATAAATTGATGAATGCATGAATATGAAAAGAACAGTGAAAAGAGGGGCAGGGAAGACGAGAAAGAGACATATATTCACTGTTTACATAAAACTGTCTCATAAAACCAACTTCCATGACTTGGAACCCATATAATTTTTGTTTTGTTTTTTGTTGTTGTTGTTGTTGTTTTTTGGGTCCGGTTGTGGGGCCTGAACTCTGGGCCTGGGCGCTGTCCCTCAGCTCTTCAGCTCAAGGCTAGTGCTCTACCACTTGAGCCACAGC